GACTTGCCCAACTCTTGATTTGAACCGAGCTGATATCTGCTTGGAGGGGCGTTACGCTTCCCCATATTGAAATTGACTAAGTCCATTAAGTGAAATCACGTTCGTACTGTCATAACGGAAATAAGCTCGACTATCCAGCACACTTCACATTTGACATCGCTCGTTACTCCGAGATGACTTTGCTCGTTACCTCCAAGCTGATGTTCTTGTCCTCTCCGAGCTGGATTTGCCCGCCTGGAATGAGTTTGTGATGTGTCTAGCTCATGGATTGATTTTGCCCTCTCACCAAGCTAAATTTACTCACCGGGGAGACAGTTGACGTAATTCCCAACAGATCTACTTTTTATCTTCCACATCCAAGCTGATTTTTGTTCGGGGGGATGTTGTCATATAGCACAATAAAGTTAAACCGAGCAGTTTTCAATCATTCAGGCAAAGCATTCAAATTAGAAAAACACAGATACAAGGCGAGCAGAAAATTCATTCATTTTCATTACTACTGAAGTTTGATTACAAAAGGTGGAGCCGCCAGACCGGTTACACAAAAATAAATAAATAAATAAAATAAAATAAAGAGAGAGCCTAGATACGCCCTAATCTACATCTATAGCGTCCTCTAGATTGCCCACTTCTTCATCGGCCACATTTTGCGCGGTTTTAGAGCCAGAGTTTACGCCTTTTTCGACATTTTGCTCGCCCTAGCCGCTGCTCAGCGACTCCTCTTTGGATATGGCCGGCAGTGTTATGTTATCCGTTGCTTGGAGAGTTATCTCCTCTGCCACACTAGCTTCTTGAGCTGCCTCAATTAGCTTTTGTTGTACGGCGGTAGCGTACATTTTCATGCAGGCCGAAATGAAGTAGATGGGGGTTGTTGAAGACCTCAGATTCCGGTGTCTCGTCAAGTTTCTCCGTGGTTGCTTTCCAGTCACACTGGAAAAATATATCTTTCATTCCTTCCACCTACCACTCGTAAGCCTTTTCGCCTTCCGCGAAGCCGTGGTCCTTTGCATCTTCAACCTTCTCTTTCAGCTCGGCCTTATAAGCTGCTCGGTGTTTTTGCAGCTCGGCAAGATATCTCACGTTCTTGGTTTGGACAGCCTTTTGTTTGTCCTTATCAGCTCTAGCTAGTTTATCAGCCAGCTAGTCCCTCTCGGCCATTACCATCTCATGCGCGGCCTTCAATTTCTCTAGCTCAGCCATCTTGGTCTTATTATTGGTAATGGCCTTCCACAGACTTTACCGCACTGAGACCATGCGCTCGTGGGCGAGATAATTTTTTTGCGCGGTTTACAACGAAGAAGACGTAAGCACATGGAAACCTAACGATGACTTGAAACAAACGGGTTTGCTTACTTACCAGGACAATTGATTTCGCGGCCGACCTAAGGACTTTCAGGTCAAAAACCTCATCATGCCTCTTCATGTCAGCCGGAAGAAGCAAGCCCTTGGTCAATTGGAAATCGAGCAAGCAGTCCTTATCGGTATAGACCGAATCAAACATTGTCACCGCTCGGCCCTTGTACTTCAGCTCGGGCGACCAGACCGGGAGGGGCAGTAGAGTGGGTGGTTCGCTAGGCCAAGGTTCGATGGAGTCCTCATCAACAAGCCTATTCTCAGTTGAAGCTTGTCTCGGTCTCTTCTTTGACCGACCAGCACCTTGTTCGCTAGCAAGAGCCAACACCAGGCTAGACTCATGTGCGGCTTGCTGGGATGTCTGCCCTCTTATGTTTTTCGCCGACTGAGAATCTCTCGGCTCGCCTGTGATCATGGACTTGATGGCGCAAATTTTGGCCATCTCTTGCTCAGCTATTAAGGGTACAAGTCTGATTGCGGAAGGGTTAGATCCGACTCTAGAGAGGGGGCACGAAGAAAATCGATGACCTTGCTCTTGTGCGATGCTGTATGATGGTAGCTCGGTTCGTATCCGAGCAGCTTTTGGGGCTCTCATTTCTCGGCTGGATGCCGCAAGCAACCCTTGTAGCCTCTTGATTGGTGCGGGAGTAATCGTCTGCCAAGAGTTTGTAATCTGCAAAAGAGAAACAAGGGTTAGATTGGCAAAGACAAATCAAATACAAAAATTGAACTGCACTATGTTGCTCACTAGTGCTCCTGAAATTTTTGCATATGTATCAGCCCAGTATGGGCGCCTCGATATCTTCATAATTACCAAACACCCACAAAAAGTCATCATCATTCAACTCTTTGTCTGGCTTGCCTTCTATGAGTTTTGCTCGGCCATTTCTAACCTTTAGGTTCCAACAAAAGCCCCCCTTATTTTTGCTAAGTGTGTACTGTGTTGTTGGAAACTTGGGTTGGGCACAACTTAGTCTACCTCAAAAACTCGTGGACGAGCAGTTCACCCTAGGGAGTGTCTCCATTTTTGGCCAGCTCTAAGTGGACGACGTTTGGAATGTTGAATTCCTTTCAGAACTCAACCATAGCACTTGGAGAACTAACCATAAATCGGTATTTCCCCATTTATCCCGGTTTTATTTTGCATGATAAATAACTCGGTCAAAATTGAATGGCTCTGGTGATTATGTGCTCGTTTTTTTAGCCTCACCGACTGTGATGTTGATATGTGCCTGGTCGGTCCTAGTTCGTTCTGCATTATTAAAAATAAGTGTAAGTGTTAGCATGACATCAAGTGCGCGGCTCTCAAAACACGCATAGCTCAGCAAAAAATTCTGCTACGCTCTAGTCCTAACTCAGTCCTCGTTTTAGCTCAGTGGTGAAGCCTAAGATGTTAGGTCGATTTTGGGCCCTCATTTTAATCCTTTGACGCTTATCTCGAGTAGATGTCCTTACAGGCTTCCAGTGCGGTCACAGTCACTTGGAAAGACCACGAACCAGTTTTAGCTCGGTTCAATCCTATTTTTGGATCTAAAATTAGGATTTAGCTTGGCTTTGCCCAAAATTTACGCTATCTACCCAAAACTAAGACTATATATTGAAATTGAGGGTAAGGAGGGGCAAGGAAGCCGCATTTGTGTTTTGGGTTTCAGTTTCGCCTAATTTCTATGAACACTCGTTGGTTTTACCCCAAGAGAAGGGTATTGGCAAATACTAACAATCCTGGACGAGAAAAACGCGAAGAACATGAAGAACAACAATAAAAAAAAAGGCAACAGTGAGAAGAACTTACGGATTAAGACGCCAAATTGAAACCCAATCAATATTGACCTTTGTTGCGATGTCTGTATTGAAACAAGAACGATGACAGCGACGATGATGGCAGCGGCGGCATGAGCTCAAGGGTTTAGGGTTTTGCACAAAGGAGATGAACAGTGATGAGGATGGGGGGTTGACCTTTTGTATATATACGAATGATGGTGGAAGGGCACCAACTTTTCGAATTATAGAGATAACGAGACAGCTGTAGGGTTGCACAGAACCAATCAGGGAAGGCCACGTGGCATTGAAGTGATGGGTTGTCAGTACGGCCGATTGATTGATGACAAAACAACCCCCTAAAACGGACAACTCGATTAGAAATAGTAATCCCAATCACGCTCAGCTCAGATGGGATTAAGGGGCAATTAAGAGGGAGATTTGTGCTGAACAGTGAGTCGAGCTATACCAGCACGAATGTGCGTTAGGCCATGTAAGGATAACCCGGGGCGCATTGTTGGGCCGAGCCAGACCTACACGGAACGTGGTGTTGGGCCGAGCTGGACCCACACTAAATGTTGCATCATGCCAAACCTAGCCAAGCTAGATCGAGTTGGTGGGCAGAATTGCCCCAACACTTAGGTTCTAGGCAGCTGGACCACGTGACGACCGAGCTGTAGATGGCTTGAGCTGCGATTATTAAGACAGAGATGGTCCATGAGATTACGGTCAATGGCCGAGGTACCGAATGATGTGCACAATCTGTTATGATAGACCGGTTAAGATCCAGCTCGGTACGAAACGACCAATGTAATGTTAGTAGTTCACAAGTATTAGCTCGGTCAAGCATCCCATGTGGACCAATAAAGAGAATAGAGAAATCCACTCCTGGTATGCGTCAAATACCGTTTGGTAGTGTGATAAACACTGTTTGGAGGTTTTGGTCTTTACACGTGTAAGAAATATAGAGGGGAGCACAGTCGCCTGTCCAGAGAAGGACAGCAGACGTAGTGCGCCCACAACCTCTGAGGCTGCATGACCAGACTTGAAAAGGAGGAGCATGCAAACGTTGGAAGTAAGCAATTTCGAACTCTCTCTCTCTCTCTGTCTACAATGCTCTACATTCTCTCTTCTCTCCAAACAAGCTAACTTGGACGTCGGAGGAGTTTTTTAACAAACTCACCCGCCGAGTAGCGCACCTTTATTTTGTTCACACTGCGACGGAGTTCTAACAGAATGAGACAAGCTTAGAAGCAAGAAGGTACGAAACAAAGCGAATATCTCTCTTCCATACAATAACTACTAATTTGTAACAAATTTTACGTCTTAAATCTATTGCATACTCATTTTTACTTGATATTTAATTAGAGGTTAAAAAGTATGTATGTATTAATTATAATGGAACACAACAATTTTGTAGATGGATTATAAATTTTAAAATTTAATCTGTAATTAGCGGAGAGATTGGTACAAATTAGTGCGAATCGGTGCAATTTTGACGAATTAGACAGGCTTCTCTCTAGTCCTCAAACTGGAACATATTATTGGGCCTCTAGAAGCCCACCACGAGTCCTATTTCGATAATTCAAGCCATTGTTGGGCTTCTAAGAGCCCACCACAAGTCCTATTTCGATAATTCAAACCATTCAATGTGTAGGGTTTGTCAAGTACTTTTTTCTTACAAAAAATCACATTTATCAAATATTGATAGATACTTGATTGGATCAAATTTCTATCAACAATAAATAAAAAATTTAAAATAAATTATTGATAAAAATATAATCTGATCAAATATCTATTAATATCCTATTAAAGTAACTTTTATAAAAACAAAATACTTAACCAACTATACATATTGCATAATTTGAATTATTGAAAAAAAAATCCGTCGTGAGCTGTAGACAAGCCTAACCCGTAACGCAACCATACACGACATGAATGATTGCACAAGCTCTCCAGTTGTCCAGCAAACCGCCATAAAATAGAGACATCTCTCTCTCTCTCTCTCTCTCTCTCTATACATAAATTCAATTCTTCGTTGGAGGGATGTACCAGTGGAGGAAATTCGAGTTCTTCGAGGAGAAATTCGCCGGAAAATGCTCCATCCCAGACGAAGTCGCCGGAAATATCACCTGCTGTTCGAGCGGCAGAGGGAAGACCGTCGTCGGTTCCGACGACGGCACTGTAACCCTACTCGATCGGGGCTTGAAGTTCAACTATGGCTTCCAAGTTCACTCCTCTTCCGTCCTCTTCCTCCAACAGCTCAAGGTTTGATCCCCTTTTCTTCCACCAATTGATTCATTTTTTTGTAGAATTGGGTTTTTTCAGAATGGGAAAATGTCACTGGGTTTTCAATTGAATTACAAAATTGGGGCGTAATAATGGAGATTTAAGGTTTTGTATTGGATAAAAATTGATGGTTGTGTGTGTTGTTTTGAATGAACCAGCAACGTAATTTCTTAGTGACTGTTGGGGAAGATGAGCAAATATCTCCTCAGCTATCAGGTGTTTGCCTGAAGGTTTTTGACCTAGATAAGATGCAGGAGGAGGGGACAAGTACATCGAGTCCTGAATGTGTTCAGATATTACGTATATTCACTAATCAGTATCCTGAAGCAAAGGTGAATTTGATTTGTGCAATACTCTGATGATATGTTCAATTCCTCAACTATATTTAGGTAAAATTTTAGGAGATTTTGTATTCTGCAGATCACATCCTTTTTAGTTTTAGAGGAAGCACCGCCGATATTGCTCATAGCTATTGGATTGGACAATGGTTGCATTTATGGCATCAAAGGGGACATTGCACGTGAGCGGATCAAGCGGTTTAAGCTTCAGGTGGATAGTCATCCAGACGAAAGTCAGTCTTGTATAACGGGTATGGGGTTTCGAGTGGATGGTCAAGCAACTCAACTATTTGCCGTTACTCCGAGTTCAGTGAGCTTGTTTAGCTTGCAGGCTGAACCATATAGTCGGAATACCCTAGATCAGATTGGATGCAATGCTAATGGTGTTGCAATGAGTGATCGCTTGGTATGCAGTTTTCGGTGGTCATCTTTTTTCTTTTTTATTACTATTTCCGTAGAAAATTTCCTTGTTATGTATTTATTCTGATTGTTATAAATACAGGAGTTAATTATTGGGCGAGATGAGGCTGTATATTTCTATGAAGTTGATGGTCGTGGTCCTTGTTGGGCCTTTGAGGGAGAAAAGAAATTCCTTGGATGGTTTCGTGGATATCTTTTGTGTGTTATTGCAGATCAAAGAAGTGGCAAGAATACTTTCAACATATATGACCTGAAGAACCGTTTAATTGCCCACAGTTTGGTTGTTAAGGAAGTTTCTCAGATGCTTTGTGAATGGGGTAATATAATACTTATAATGGCAGACAAATCAGCTTTATGTATTGGGGAGAAGGATATGGAAAGTAAGTTGGATATGCTTTTTAAGAAGAATCTTTATCCAGTAGCTATAAATCTTGTTCAGAGCCAGCAAGCTGATGCTGCCGCGACAGCTGAAGTGCTGAGGAAGTACGGGGATCATTTATACAGCAAACAAGACTATGATGATGCCATGGCTCAGTACATCAACACCATTGGTCACCTTGAACCTTCATATGTGATACAAAAGTTTTTAGATGCTCAAAGAATCTACAACCTTACAAATTACTTGGAAAAATTACATGAAAAGGGGCTTGCTTCAAAAGATCATACAACTCTTCTGTTAAATTGTTACACCAAGTTGAAAGATGTGGAAAAGCTTAATGTGTTCATCAAAAGTGAGGATGGCATCGGGGAGCATAAATTCGATGTTGAAACTGCAATAAGGGTCTGCCGTGCTGCCAATTATCATAAGCATGCAATGTATGTAGCAAAGAAGGCTGGGAGGCATGAATGGTACTTAAAGATCTTACTTGAAGACCTGGGTAGTTATGAAGAAGCCTTGCAGTATATTTCTAGTCTTGAACCAAGTCAGGCTGGGGTGACAATAAAGGAGTATGGAAAGATACTAATAGAGCACAAGCCAATCGACACCATTGAAATTCTCATGAGACTTTGCACGGAGGATGGAGAACAATCCAAGAGAGGTACCTCGAATGGTGCATACATGTCCGTGCTACCATCCCCTGTTGATTTTCTCAACATATTTATCCATCATCCAGAGTCACTTATGGATTTTCTTGAGAAATACACCGACAAAGTGAAGGACTCACCTGCTCAAGTAGAAATTGACAACACACTCTTGGAGTTATACTTGTCTAATGATTTGAACTTCCCATCAGTCTCACAAGCTAACATCAGTGAATATGCTAATTTCAGAGGGGAAAGGCCATCAGCAGCTGGAACGTCAAAAGCAAAGTCCAATGGTAAATTAAGTGTGGATCAACAAAATTTGAATAAGGAAAAGGATCGTCAAGAAAGACTTCAGAAGGGGCTGCTCTTGCTTAAGACTGCATGGCCATCAGACCTGGAGCATCCACTGTATGATGTTGACCTTGCTATAATTCTTTGTGAAATGAATGCATTTAAAGAAGGGCTCTTATATCTCTATGAGAAGATGAAACTCTACAAAGAGGTGATTGCTTGCTACATGCAGGCCCATGACCATGAGGGTTTGATTGCATGCTGCAAGAGGCTAGGGGATTCAGTTAAGGGAGGTGATTCAACCCTTTGGGCAGATGTATTGAAGTATTTTGGTGAACTTGGAGAAGATTGCTCAAAAGAAGTCAAGGAAGTTTTGACTTATATTGAGAGGGATAACATCTTGCCTCCTATTATTGTTCTTCAGACCCTGGCCAGAAATTCATGCCTCAATCTCTCTGTCATCAAAGATTATATAGCCAGAAAACTTGAACAGGAATCAAAGCTAATTGAAGAGGACAGACGATCCATTGATAAGTATCAGGTTGGTGTTCAATTATTTCATAGTCTAATGAATATTTATCTACTCTACACTATTTTGTCTTTGCATTTACCTCCAGTGAATGTTGTCAATGATACAATGATATGCTAATTTACCTAGACTTTTGATGAACACGAACTCTTGCATATCATCTCACCATTTGAAAATTGAGCTACTGGTGTGCATTAGGTTGAGCTTCTTCTTCCAGTTCTGAGCATGGATATGTCTTCTGATATTACTATTGATGATTATGCAACTATAGTTACTAAACTCTGAGCACACACTACGCACGTTCATACCATGAGTAGTATGAAGAGTTACAATTTTATTGAATATAAGTATTTGCTTCTTGTCTCAAATTAACTATTGTCCACTCTTCTTTCAACTGGTTTTTCTATTATTCTAAAATATAGTAGTGACCCATCGTTTGGTTAATTTCAAATTGAATAATTTGAAAAGGTATAAAATTCGTAACATATTTGAATATTTTAAGAGATCATGAATGCTTGTTCTTGCATAAAGCTATTGGTTTTAAGGAAACAAAAGTATTGACAAGGTTTCAATTTGAAGGGGAAACCAAAATGGTGTTCTCTCTTTTATCTATTAGTAATAGTATAGTATAGATGAAAAGTTTTTTTTTAAAAAGTGGCATGCTAAATCAGTCCCTGTAGTATTTTAATTACTCTAATGAATTTAATGCTGATTGGTTTTCCAGTTCCTTGTAGTGAGTAACACACATTAATGTGTACTAATTGGATGTTGTTTTTTTGTATTGAGGAACACCAGACCAAAAGAAACGACTACAAGAGCCAGGCTAATTGAGATTGACATCTTTAATGATCAGTAGCCATATTTTCCATGTGATTAGATTATTGTGCAAATACAAGACCTTAAATGAAGATAGAAGTGCAGATAGTGGGTATTAATTTTTTAAAATTGCCAAAATGGTCTACATCCAGGGGTGAAAAATAAAATATCCTTTTAATGTGGTAAAAATTGGGTCTGATTGACAAAAATACTGGAAAAAGTAGGTTCTAGTCACTTTTATGGTAGTTGAGTAAATGACTTTAATGTGATCCAGCAGCCACAAAACTCGTAAACATATCATCTATGATTACAATATAGCCACAACAGTTTCCTAATTTAAAGTTTTTACACTTAGTCTACAATCTAAAAGGGTGGTAGATCATATCTCGTTTCCACTAACGTTGTGTTTGGTTGGGGGATTTGGGAAGGGATTTGGAAAGGAAAAGGGAAAAGGTGTGTAAAATTACGTGAAATGTGGGTATATTTTATTCACGTTTCACCTATTTTTTCTTTTTTCCTTTTCAAATTCATTCCCAAATCCCTCAACCAAACACAACATAATTTTTTTTATTATAAACCTAGCATTGTATGTCCAACAATTGTTATATGCATGAAAGAGAAAATAGATGCATAGGAAGAAGAAGAATAAATCAGAAAGGAAAAAATAGAAGTTATGTGCTTGAAATTGACCAAGGCAGTAAAATAGGAAGGAAAAAAAGTTGAAGGCCACAAAACACAACACCACACAAAGCTGTGATTTTTATTACCATTAAGGCCTTCTCAAAGAGGATTTAAGCTATGTTTTAATTAATCTATACTCCATATATCGATTTCAATCATCATTTAGATTGACTATTTCAAGGATTTCGATAAGTTTTCTACTTGTGCTTTTTCTTCTTGTTTTTTACTAGTATAGTAGTATGTGTTGATTTGTTATGATGATGGTCATGGAGGGTTTTATTATTGATTCCAGACTTTAGGACCTGTCAGTGTGATTTCACAGTAACTATGGAACAAGTTTTATTGTTGTAGGAGCATATGTGATTATTTTAATTGACTGAAGATGCAACAATAAAGAAGAGTAGTAGGATCACCATAAATGGAGATGCTAGGGGGAGGGGAAGACCTAAATTGACATGGGATGCGGTAGTGAAAAAATATGTATTTATTTAATTTAATTGAGCATAGCCCTTAATAGAGTTGAATGGCGAAAAAGGATTCACGTAGCCGGTCCCACTTGATTGGGACACATAGCTTAGTTTAGTTTGGTTTGGTTTACTTTGCTTTTGGTTAATGTATGTAGCAACTGTTCTATTTGTCTAGCTGATGGAATGACGATGCTGCAAATGATTTAACAATGGTAATTAGCCACTAATAGGTTCAATATAATCACACTTCTTTTCCCACTCCCATTTCCTTCTTGGTCTTGGTGACAACACCGATAATTTCTCTCTTTTTTTTGTAGCTCCTTGAAAAGGTAAAAATAAAAAATTGTGGAAGTTCTGTTTTGATGAAAATTACCCATCAAATGACCCGACTGTTCTCTGAATTGTGCAGGAAGAAACATTATCAATGAGAAAGGAAATACAGGATCTTAGGACAAATGCCAGAATCTTCCAGCTTAGCAAGTGCACTGCTTGTACTTTCACCCTTGATCTCCCTGCTGTACACTTTATGTGCATGCACTCATTCCATCTGCGTTGCCTTGGTGACAATGAGAAAGAATGCCCCGAGTGCGCTCCCGAATACAGATCTGTCCTCGAAATGAAGAGAAGCTTGGAGCTGAATTCCAAAGACCAGGATCAGTTCTTCCAGCTGGTTAAAAATTCCAAGGATGGATTTTCTGTGATTGCTCAGTATTTTGGGAAGGGAATCATCAGCAAAACTGGCACTGCCGCAACTGGCACTCTTAGACCAGGCAACGCTTCTTCCAGCAGCAGCTTCTGAGATTTGTTTGTTATTATTTTTCTTTTTTCTTGCATTCACACTTTTATTTGTTGGCTTGCAAGCATTTGCTGAACCTTGTCAAGTAATTTTTGGTGGGTTATTGAGACTTTGGGGATTCTCTGCAATTAATGGTCATTGCCTCATTTACAAAGAAAATTAGCTGTTAGCACCTTGTTTGACCTAGTTGGTGTTGATTTGGTCACTGAGAAGAGAGAAATCATGAGGTTTCTCTGCCAAGAACATATAAGGGAAGGTTATGACATGTATCATATGTTCAAACTGGCTGCTGTAATATCATGGCAGAGATGTGCCACCTGATTTTCCCGAGCAAGTTCACAATGAATGGTTTGTATCGTCAATTTTCTTGCAAATAAAATAATTCTAGTGGTTGTTAGATACTTTTCTGCTCACAAGATTTTATGATTTCATAACTTTTGTTATTTGTGTGTTGTTCCTATAAGCATACTACATGTTATATAGCTGCTGATTTGAGAAGATTTAAATTATATAATCTTACATTTAGGAAATATTTCTGGATTATTTTATGATCTTTATTTCCAAATTTGTATATCTTATAACTGTGCCTTAGGTTAGGGAGAGGGAACTGAGTGGAATGCCTATTCCTTTTTGAGTTTGAGGATTGTGACAGCGATGATTTCAAGGATCTTTTGATAAAGGATGCACCTTCAAATATTATTTGTTGAGCAAAAGTGCTTGCAGGCCTCTTGGAAGCTCGGTATATGACAGAGACTCATTACTTGTTTTCCTGATGAGTGTGCCATTCTTTTGCATGCATTATTACCATGATTTCACTGGCAGACTAGCTAGCCAACCGTGCAGCAGTTTTATTGTCATTGATTATTTTCCTCTGTTTGTTCTTGCTTTGGAAGGCTCTCTTGTCTCCTTGTGCTTTCTACTTTGGGTTTGTCTGATGCAGTTTCATACAACTTCAACCTATATAAAATTTAGACAAACTCTTCGATTCAATATTAGATTTTTTTTAATAGCTTTATTAATGTTGATAACAATTGATGATGGTGTGTAGCATTTTGGGCATCCTTCTGAGGATGATGATCATGTTATCTCTTCATGAAATGGCAATTGTTTCTGTCAACAAAAAAAGGTTCAAAGTTGCTAATTTGGGCACCCTTTCATGAGAAATTAGCAACTCTTTCGTGACTAAACAGCATTGCTGAATTCTTTGTGGCCATTACTAACTATTATGAAATACAGTGAGGATTTTTTGGAGAGATCTTCAATTGCTTATTTTACATATTGTGTTATTGTTTGAACTTTATCCTGCGTGCTATTTGTACGGGCATTTGCTACCTGTTTGATGAGCCTTCAGTTCAGCTTTGTCTGTGTTCTGCAAGTAGTTTATGCATGCATTTGAAATGGTGGAACAGGCATTCTTTGGATTGCTTTGCTTCAGTTGTAAAAATAAAAAAAATTTCACCTTTCTCTCTCTCTCTCTCTCTGTTGTGGTTCAGAAGATCTTTTGGATATTAATCAATACTGCTACTCTGGTATGGTTTGAAAGACCCTTCAGGGATAGATTGACTGCGAGAAGCATCAGGGGAAACATAAAACAATGATTTTACACACTTTTTAATCATGGCAGAGGAACACAGTATCAACACGACAACTCTGTTGCAGACTTGCAGTACCGAATTTTCTCATTCTTAGGTCAGGACCTAAAATCATCCATTAAATGCGTACATACTGTCAGGTTCAACTAGCTTAGAGCTGATATCATGGTCCTTTGAATCTTTGTATTGAAGGCACTAAATCTATTTTCTCTTGTGTTGTCTCCAATGCATTACCCTGAATTCATTCTTTGTTTCTGAAACAATATTATGTATTTGATATGTTATTCTCTCTCCAGGCTTCCAGCATAGTGCTTCCTGTCAGAGTTTGGTGTGCTTGCAAGGTGAGTGCTTAATAATGACCTCTTATCCTCGGAAACGTGTCTTGCTTATAAAAATATGGGGTGCATAAATCAGTGGCCTAAAATAATTCAATGGCCCAGTGTACTATTCAGTGTCATTCTAGTGGACTGAAACTGACCTGATTTGTTACTCATACCTAGAATTTGGATGCCATCCCTATCAACTGAAAGCATCGGTATTGATTGGAATCTTAGATTTATCTCAATGGATGAAGTGCTTAGATTTGAAATCTGTTAAATTGCACCTATTCCTTTTTACACGTGTACTGTCTAGATGTCATGTGAGAATCTAGCCACAAACAAGAAATGACTTGAAATATTTGCCTTTTTTACATGTGGTTTCAATTTTCAAAGAAGATTACAAGAACCCAATAGTTGGAAAGTCCTAACCAATAATGCTACAAAATTAGGTAGACCACAAATATGCTCTTCCTTGCAAGTTGCTAGTGTTGCTTTAGTGCTTGAAGTTTAGTGTTGTGGAAGCTCAAAGATATAAAATGTTCTATGTTTGTGGAACTATTTAGTTCTGTAAAGGCAATATTTTTCTGCTTATGTAGTGCAGGTGGTAGACCACCACTAACCAACTTTTGAGAAATCAGTGATCACCAAGCTTCTTTGAAAATATCCTTTTACGTCCCTTTCTCAGAAAACATTCATTTTACAATTCAATACTTGCATGCACTGAACTATGTGAACACAGTTGACATTCCAATAGGGCTCATGTAATCTGTACTTGTGTTGATGTGTGCAGCCTGTTCGATATATAAGGTGAAACTCATGCTTAAATAGAACTGTTGGAGAAATTCATTATTTCTGAAATTGGAATAGATTATATACTTTTTCTATCTATTATTATTTGTTGATTGCTTCAAATTTGTGTGATCTATAGGATTTTCTGAAGGTGTAGGGTCAATCAATTTGTCGACTGTGAAACTACTTACTCTTCTACTCATATTTCAACTTTGCTCCTCAATACTCGACCTTTAATTTTGTATTTGTCACTCTTTTCCAACAAATGATGCATGCTCTGGCTAGCATGACACGCATTTTTATTTGTTTTCGTGCACGAAAATGTTTAATTATGTTGATTGTGTAAAATATTGTGCATTCAGGTTCACAGTCAAATCAATCATTACACTTTGTTATTTAACCTCCATATTAGGTGTAGTATCACATTAATCTTTTTGTTCTTTTGTCCTTGGATATATTCAGTTATTGTCCTGGTGAGTCTATTGTGACAGCCTAACCGATGATTTGGCTAGACTTGTCTAAAAGATAGTTGAGTTGAGGCATGACCTACTGGCTCTTTTTTTTTTGGCTTTTTAGAAGTCAAAAAGTGAGAATGGTTCCCTTCCTATGAACTGTGTTTTACATGTTATTTGCAAAATTAAGCATCATTGGAATATATATTTTTCTATATGTTGCTGCAAATTTGCTTCTAGTGATTTGGAATTTGGAAGCAAGCAAAATATATTTGACAATAGTCTTCAATTTAAAATGGCATCTTATTAGGTCTCCTTTTGCTAACACTTTTGTTTCTTGTCTTTTTGTTTATGTTTTCCAAAATTTTAAAAATTGAAAGCAAAAGCATAGTTGGTAACTAGTTGGTGGATTGTAAATTCTAACATATTATACGGACATATTCTATAGGTTATGATGATACTACTTGTCTCAAAGGGACGGGTCGGGTTGATCCACGTCTCTCACACCGTTGTCCGATCGCTGGATCCGTAGAGAAGCCTGCACAAGAGTTCAACGGGGAACGAGAGTCCCCCAGCGAACCCTCCGATGAGCAAGTTAGAAAAGAGAGATTAATAGAATATAGAGATAGGATGATGATAAAGAACTTAACTTTCTTATTGTCTTAGAAACCTGCTTATATCTTTTGTTCATCATTTCCTTGTCCACTCCGACCTGTCATGTTGGCCGAAAGTCTATGTTCTAACTTGCCGTGTTCATGATGAGACTGTTCTGTTTCGACGTGAAGGGGTTATCGCATTAAATGCCGCAGAGAACCTCATTAATGGCTGATGTGTGGTGTAATAACTCTGCAGGATCTTTGTCTGCTTGTGTGGCTGGTTCTTCTCTTAACAAGTTTTAGATGTCATTGGTTTTTGGTGCAACGTTGGGTTCCAATGATGTTGGGCTTTAGTATTTGAATCATGCATCGGGTTTTAAGTGGTGGGCCAAAAACCCCTATGGGCCCACTTACGTTAGTAGTTCAGTCCAACGAAGGGAATAAGAAAGAAGCTGGTCGAGTAAGAAAAGACCGACTGGAAGGAGGGCCGATCGCAAAGGATGACTAAGTGAGAAGGCTGACCGGAAGGTGGGCTGATCGCGAAGGGTAACCGAAAGGGGGGCCGACCATGAGGTGGGCTGATCTCGAAAGGTGAGTGAGAGGGAGGCCGACCGCGAAGTGTGACCGAGAGAGGGGGGTCGATTGTGAGGTGAGCCGACCGTGATGGGTGACCGAGAGGAGGGGCCGACCGTGAGGTAGGTTGACCGCGAAGGGTGACCGAGAGGGGGGCTGACCGCGAAGTGTGACCGAGAGATGGGGGGCCGACCGTGAGGTGGTCCGACCGGGAAGGGTGACGGAGATGGGGGCCGACCATGAAGTGGGCTGACTACGAAGGGTGACCGAGTGATAAGAAGGAATGACGGCGCGCAGGGCTCGAGGAGCGGTGGGGCACGTAGTGATGTGAAGTGGAATAGATAGGGAAGGGGAAGAGAGTAGTGAATCATGGTCGTACATGTGGCATAATCCCGTAATAAGGGAGGTGATGCGTTAGCAAGAAGCGAAGGGATAGGCTAATATAGGGCGTTGAAAAGGCGGGGGCAGAAGTTTTCGAAATTTTTCAAACTGGCAAAATTCAATCTTGACCCTTGGAATATAGGCAAACCGTGGGCATTTGAAGTTATTCGCTTTACTTACCTTATCGCAAAAACCAGCATATCCTAGAGGTAAACTCGTTTGTTTCGTGTGACATGCCTCTGCAACACTTTGCGAACTTCCTTGTGCCAGCGTCCGAAGCGATACGCAAACACGTTGGAGGAATGGCTCGAGATGGAGTGCTAGCCGTGAGGCTAGACTCATTGGGAGAAGACGATGCAGTGGAGTTGACGGAACAGTATCGAGTAGAGCGAATGGAGGAGAGGGGAGCTGGGCAAGCGGCGCGAGCTCGCCCGACGACGATGATCGTAGCCACTAGGCCAATTAGCCAAGTGGAGCCGGACCACTAGCACACCAAGACCGACAAGTCTACGTTTACGGAGGAGGAGTTGGAGGAGGTACGGAGGAAGTACCAATTTCCAACGGAGGTAGAGTTGAGGCTGCTCACATCTAAGGAGAGGGTGTCGGATGCACGGCCGACAGAATTCACGTTGAGGTTACCACTCCCCCAAATAGTAGTGGACGTACTTAACAAACTGGAAGTGGCGCTAAGGCAGCTGATGCCCAACACATGGAAGATACTGATGGCGTGCGCAGTTTCATGGCCACGGGCGAACGGGGGGGCGGCTATGACGGTGGAGGAATTCTTCTCCTGCTACAAGGCCTCTGATCAACAAGACTTTGCAAGCGGTGGCAGGCCGGGGTCTGGTGGCAGGCTTGCCATCTTCGGTGAAGGGGTGGAGGCCGAGATGGTTTTTTGTATCAGCGAACGATGGGGGAGAAGTTCGCACAAGGTGGAAAGTCCCCACAAAGTCGGTAGAGCCAAGACTGGATACGGAGGCTGAGAACATGGTAAAGAGGGTGAAAGAGCGGAGGGAGAATGAGGGGGTAAAGTGGGATGACCTGATCCTACCTTCAACCTTGTTTGCCTTGAGGCTAGGGCCGCAGTCGATGAAGAGGGATCCGGCAAGGAAGGAGTGGTTGTTCCCACAGACGGCGCCAACTGATGATACTACTTGTCCCGAAGGAACGGGTCGGGCTTATCTACGTCTCCCACACCGTTGTTCGATCGCTGGATCTACAGAGAAGCCTGCACAAGAGTCCAACGGGGAACGGGAGTCTCCTAGCGAACCCTCCGACGAGCAAGTTAGAAAAGAGAGATTAATGGAATATAGAGATAGGATGATGATAAAGAGCTTAACCTTCTTCTTGTCTTAGAAACCTGTTTATATCTTTTGTTCATCATTTTCTTGTCCACTCCGACCTGTCATGTTGGCCGAAAGTCTATGTTCTAGCCTGCCTTGTTCATGGGGAGGTTGTTATGTTCCGACGTGAAGGGGTTATCGCATTAAATGCTGCAAGGAACCTCATTAATGGCTGATGTGTGGTGTAATAACTCTGCAGGATTTTCGTCTGCTTATGCAACTGGTTCTTCTGTTAACAAGTGTTTAGATGTCATTGGTTCTTAGTGCAACGTTGGGTTCCAATGATGTTGGGCTTTAGTGTTTGAATTATGCATCGGGTTTTAAGTGGTGGGCCAAAAACCCCTATAGGCCCACCTACGTTAGGTTATACGATCCTATACTATAATTGTGGGCTATAAAATCAAAATAAAAAATATGCATGATAATATACAATGAGAGAGAGAGGTATATGCAAAGAAGGTGGAAAGTTAAAAAATGAGAATATATGTCTAGATTTTAGGATTTATAATTTTTGTTAAGGTCTTGTTTAGAAAATGATTGAAATAACAAAAAAAAATCACTAAAAGTTATTACATAACTCTCTTTATTTTGTTATATATTTTTTCGTAAAAAATTAATTAAAATAATTAATTTCTAAACGAATCTTAAGTATTTATAGATTCGACAATGCTACGTAGCTCAAATTTTGTTGCTCAAAAGTGGCTCAAATGGCCAAAACGACGTCCTTTTGAGTACAGAACAACATAAAAATGTCGTTTTGGCCAGTTAAGCCACTTTTGAACCACAAAATTTGAGTTACGAGATATTTTCCTCGTAGATTAGATTGATTATTTTAGCAAGTTAAAGATTTTGAATTTTATACAACTAACTGGCATAAAGGTAGTCTGTTAATTCATTAATCAGCAAATAAAATACACTCAAGCTGCGGCTGGCAATTGGAGTTTGGACAAGTAAAATGAAATCTATGTAATAATTTATTCAAATTTTATTGTAATTAAACTTGACTTGTTACAAATCAATCTAAGAATGATTTTTTTTTATAAATAGTTAAGCTCAAATATTTTAATTTATTTTAGAAATAAAAAGAAAAGTGAGCACATGCTATCCTTTTAATTGGAGATAGATAGATAGATGGAGAATAAGGGCTGAAATTGAAGACCAAACTAATAATTTAAAGAATTAAATGGAAGGCTGGCAATCATTATGGCGAGTTCTTCGGGAACCACCTGCTTTCTGACCTTCGGGCTAACCCTCTAATTTGGATTGTTAATGTCTAAAATTGCCCCCTACAGCCCACATGTGTTGTTGTTGGCCACACAATTTTTTTTTTTTTTTTTTTTCAATTATGAGAAATAAGGACAATTCTCTTCTTGCACTTTAGTAAAAAGTTAAAATTACTTTTGAAAATTCTTATCCTCAAATAAGAGTGGGTTAAATTTGCTATTCATCATTTAACAACTCTTTAGTAAGTTAAAATTTTGTGAATTTTTTTGTTCTAATAAGAAAATAGGTAGGGAGGGATTTAGGTTGCATTTGATAGAGTTTTTTAAATATAATTTGATAATAGAGTTATATTTTGAGTTCGTGAGTTTTGAAATTATGATTTGAGTGTGAAAATTTGTGAATGAGTTTTGAAATGAGTTTTAAATTTTTTTTGAATTGAGTGGGAAACTTTTTGATGTGACATATGATATTTGATACAAAAATTTACATCTCATAACCAAACACACAACTCAAACTTTTATTCAAAATTCATAAAAATAATTTAAAATTTCAAAAAATATTTTTTATTGAATATATAAAAATTAACATGTGTAAAAAAAAAAAATTTATGCACTGTTTCGGTCAATCGGCCAAACGACCGGTGAGACGTCTTATGGGACAACCGGTTAGTTCAAATTTTTTCGCCTTAGATAAAGTTTTCAAAAATAAGTGTGGAATTAATTTTTAAAAATCACAAATAAACACGGTATGCAAATCAAAACCTAAAACTAACGTTCCAAAACTCTATCGAATATAGCCTTAGTTTCTCAATCTCATTTACTTAACCTCTCCCTTGATTATATTAATTAATTCTGTTTTATATGCATAAAAATTATATATAATTTAGTTTTTTAAATATAATAAAAATAAAATATCAAAACATGTATATATAATGTCACTTTTACCTATCTAGTTTTTTTTTTTTATTATTTTTTTAAACTTTCATTTATATCATCTCTCGACACCTTTCTTCTCCTTTCTCGCTTCTCCACCTTGAATTTTTTTCCTATCTCGACGAGACAAGACACCATCCTCATCTCACCACCTTGATTTTTTTTCCTATCTCGACAAGACAAGACACCATAAATCTCTCCTCATCTTCAATATTTAGGTCAAGTTTTGGAAGACTAAATAAATATATTTTTTGACTTTTTATGAAATATGGATTGAATTTGGGTTGGGTTTGAAATGATGTGTTAGAGAGGTGATGTGACTTAAATAAGTTAATATGATTTAAATAAGATAATGACTTTTTAACTTTTTGAATTTTTTAAAAGATGCCAAACATTCTATCATCATAAAACCGTCTAAAATTTAAAAACAAAACTTTCATCTTGAATATACTATCTATGAATTTTTTTTATAAAATAAAATAAAATAAAATTTCTTACGATAATTGCATTTTAAGAAACTTTTTAGTCTAATATCACCATCCAAAAACAGAAAAGAGTCTCTTCCTTTTGAAAAAATTATTCCCTACTCCTCACCAATCATAATTACCAAACCTAGAAAAGAGTCTCTTCCTTTTGAAAAAATTATTCCATACTCCTCACCAATCATAATTACCAAACCTGCTATTATTTTTCAATCACCAAAAACAAAAAGAAATGGAATATTGTTGTGCAGTTACTGTTGTCCCAATGTGAGAGATTGTCTCAAATATTTTTCGATAATGTAAACCGTTCATATTGTAGGGTTCGCTAAGAATATTATTTACATAAAAAATCAAGTTAATCGGATATTCATAACCCCATGATCAGGTTCTAATTATTTTTAAAATTTTTTGAAAGGTTTTTAACCGTCAATTTTTATAAAAACAAAGTGATTTGGTTACAAGGCTAGAGATATCCAATCAATTTGATTTTTTGTATAGATAATCTACTCGAAAAATTCTACAATATGAACGATTCAAATTATCAAAAAATACTCGAAACAATCTCTCACAAGAAGGCAGCAGTATCCCCATTCCAAATAAAAGGAAATCATGGATCTACTCAACATTCTTGGAACAGCAGGAGGCTATGCACCACCAAATAACTTCTCCTTCCGTTTGACCACATTACGTGGCGGAGGACACGTGCGAGTGGAGGAAGGTGGCGCGTAGGACACGAACATTTCGGACCAAAACGCACAGTAACATAATTTAATCAGTCAGAGCAAACAAAAGGAAGCAACAATGAGGTGAATAGATTCAGTGTGTGTGTGTGTGTGTGTGTGTGAGTGAGAGAGCAAGAGAGTGCGTAAAAAGTGAAGCCTTTTGGTTCAAAGAACCTCCCTCTCTGTTTCTCTCTCTGAAATCGTAATCTGAGCATCAAATGTAGGAGAAGAAGAAGAAGACAATCAGACCCATTGCTTCGGCCGAACGACCGGTGAGACGTCCTATGGGACAACCGGTTAGCCCAAATTTTTTTGCCTTAGATAAAGTTTTCAAAAATAATTGTGAAATTAATTTTTAAAAATCGTACATAAATACAGTATATAAATCAAAACCTAGAACTAACGTTCCACGACCCTACCGAACATAGCCTTAGTTTCTCAATCTCATTTACTTAACCTCTCCCTTTTTTATATAAATTAATTATATTTTATATGCATAAAAATTATATATAATTTAATTTTTTAAATATAATAAAAATAAAATATCAAAACATTTATATATAATGTCACTTTTACCTATCTAGTTTTTTTTTTTTATTATTTTTTTAAACTTTCATTTATATCATCTCTCGACACCTTTCTTCTCCTTTCTCGCTTCTCCACCTTGAATTTTTTTCCTATCTCGACGAGACAAGACACCATCCTCATCTCATTAAGTAATTCTATATTTAGCCTACGTTTGGGAAGTGGGTTGGCTTTTTGGCTTTTTAGTTTTTTTGGCTATTTTAGTCTGGGCTAAAAAACTTGGTTTGGGAAGGACTTTTTGGCTTTTTGGCTTTTTTGACTTTTTTTGTGAGAGAAGAGTTTAATGATTATGGGTTGGATGTGATGTTTTGTTTTTTGTGGCTAAAATAGCATATTTTGTCTTTTATGGCTAAAATAGCAAAAAAAACTCCAAAATTTTCTTCCCAAACGTAGGCTTATTCTATCATCCTAAAACCATCTAAAATTTAAAAACAAAACTTTCATCTTGAATATACTATGCGGGGGTTAATTCTATGAATTTTTTTATAAAATAAAATAAAATTTCTTACGATAATTGCATTTTAAGAAACTTTTTAGTCTAATGTCACCATCCAAAAACAGAAAAGAATCTCTTTCTTTTGAAAAAATTATTCCATACTCCCCACCAATCACAATTACTGCTATTATTTTTCAATCACCAAAAAAAAAAAGAAATGAGATATTGTTGTGTCTAAAAGCACCGCAGTTACTGTTGCCCCATTATGAGAGATTGTCTCAAATGTTTTTCGATAATATAAACCGTTCATATTATAGGATTCGTTAAGAATATTATTTACATAAAAAATCAAGTTAATCGGATATTCATAACCCCATGATCAGGTCCTAATTATTTTTAAAAATTTATAAAAGGTTTTTAACCGTTAATTTTTATAAAAACAAAGTGCTTTGGTTATAAGGTTACAGATATCCAATCAACTTGATTTTTTGCATAGATGATCTACTCAACAAATTCTACAATATGAACGATTTAAATTATCGAAAAATACTCGAAACAATCTCTCAAGAGGGCAGCAGTATCCCCATTCCAAATAAAAGGAAAGGAAAATGATTGGTGGCCACAAATTCTGTGGTTCAAAATTTTGACATTTTCGGATCATTTGAACCACAGAATTTGTGGCCACAAATCATTGCCCAAAAGGAAATCATGGATCTACTCAACATTCTTGGAATAGCAGAGGCTATGCACCACCAAATAACTTCTCCTTCCGTTTGACCACATTACGTGGCGGAGGACACGTGCGAGTGGAGGAAGGTGGCGCGTAGGACACGAACATTTCGGACCAAAACACACAGTAACATAATTTAATCAGTCAGAGCAAACAAAAGGAAGCAACAATGAGGTGAATAGATTCAGTGTGTGTGTGTGTGTGTGTGTGTGAGTGAGAGAGCAAGAGAGTGCGTAAAAAGTGAAGCCTTTTGGTTCAAAGAACCTCCCTCTCTGTTTCTCTCTCTGAAATCGTAATCTGAGCATCAAATGTAGGAGAAGGAGAAGAAGACAATCAGACCCATAATTACACCTCCTCCTCACGCGGTAAATCCATCATCACTCATATATTCATAAATATGTCTGTCTCTGTACCTATGTATTTATTTATATATATGCGCGTTTTTTCTGATTTTGTTTTTAATGGAATCATTTGATCTTATTCAAGCTTAATTTGATATTAAGGTTAGGTTTCTTTGTGTCTTGATTTGGGAGATGAACAAAGAACGCCCTCCTGAGCCTCTTGATTTCTTCATTTGGACTGTCGAGGTACTCTTTTTTAATTTCTCTCTTTATATATTATATTTTTTGCCGATCTATGATTCTGATTCATTCTTTGCTTTATCATGGTAAGGTGTAATTGGGTTTTTTTTTTTTTTTGGATGTCCACTGTTTGGTTGATGAGAAAATGAAGTTTGTTTATGACTTCTCTATCACTTGGGCCTGAATACATGTCATTCCCTACATAAATATTTGGATTTTAATTTGGGTTTGGGAAATCACTCAACAATAAGATTGGACTATTACTCTTTTTGTTTCTGTTTGGATTTACCACAGCTTTCTCAGCAACTAAAGGAGAATTTGGGAATAAGAGATTGTTTGTTATGATATGCTTAGTGAAATTATCGTCAAGTACTTTCAGATGTTTTCCTTTGGCCAAGTTGATTTGAAATTATGTTCTTGATTATTGACTTGGATTGTGTACGGTTACCATGCAGTTATGTTAGATTTTTAGAGCAACAAATATCAATTGATAATCAGAATCTGGTATTGGGCTCACTTTGCTCATCCCAACTTATAAATAATTGATAAATTTAGGGCAGATTTAGTACATGAGATATGGGTGTTTGAGTCTGGACCATCCCGATTTGTGTTCTATAATACTGACAGATGAATAACCTCTCTCTCTCTCTCTCTCTGAAATTTGATCCTATTTCTTTTTTATTCTGTTGCTGATGTATAATTGTCTCGTCTGAATTTTTTCTCATTATACATTCCATCTGCATCCAATGCTTATGTGCTTCCTTCTGAATATACTTTGGCTGGAGAAAGGAACAAAAGATATTAAACCGTGTGAACATTTTGTACATCCTCCACGATTACTATGCTGAATCATATACCAGACAATATAGTCAAAATGGTTTGGATAATTTGCGTTGTTTTGCGTGCTTTGAAATATGGATGTCTTATGAGGAGTGATTGGGATGGATTTGTGTTGAGTTGACTTGAAGTTGTTTAAAGGTTTTCTTGCCCACCTAAAGAAGATGGAGATTCTTGGATGGGGAATAGTGCCACTCACATCTATTAACCAACACCAAGAACAAAGGTGTACCATGCCCTTTCTTTTACCTGTAACTTTGAAGGTTTCTATTGGATTTTTAGATGGAGGAAAGTTAAAAGGAAGAACATTTCACAAATTTGTATCACATCATATAGGTCTCACCAATTGGAGTGATTCTTATTTGTTAAAATTGTTGGAATATTAACTTCTATGGAATTTTATGATGTTTTTTCATTTTACTTAAAAGTAAATCAAATGTGTTGTGCTGTGCTTCAATGCTAATTATACAAATTAGATCAGTGCTACACCTGTCCTTAGATTATTCTCTTCCATTATTACAAGGGCAAATGTTGTTGATTATTATAGTTTGCTAGTTATCTGGCTCAAAACTTAGATAGGATCAGTTTCTATTCTTTCTCTTGTCTCCTTTTTTGAAACTATAATAATTTCTCTTTCAGGTCTGGAAGTAAATCAGTATAAACTTGTTTGAGATGTATTTAAAAAGAGAATGGTGGATGAAGAAATCAGTTTCAATATTAAAATACTTTACAAGCACCCATCTCATCTGTATTAGGAGCATGTAGATATATAGTCCTCTGAATTCCTGACATGTGGGAAACTTCTAGCTCTGTAAAGGATAAGCACTAGAATGCTTCCTATGTTATCATGTTGCCTCCATCTACTACTGTCTCTGTAATCTCTTTATCTTTGTCCCTTTTTTTTTGGTCTTTTTCCCTTCAAACACAATTGGAGAACACTTGGATAGTTGGGTATCATACTCATCCTCAGGTCCTATCAGTGATTGAGGTGTAACGTGAAAATCCTTGAATCTACAGTAGAAGTGGCCTGCATAGGTGAAGGGCAATGCAGTAGCTTCTGATTGACTGTCTCATGTAAGAGTTGCATGCAATGCAGTTCGAAATCATCCAGCTGCTGAATGTAGAGTTCTCTTCTGTTGGAATTTGATCAATCATTTACTTATCTCCTAATAAAAAATTCCACTATTGTAGGAATGGGTTTGCAGGATAACTTCTAAGGAAACATACAGTGCCTGCTGTGAAATTTCATTGAGATTGCCCTTGATTTGTTCCTCATGTTGTGTTTTTTAAGTGATTGTGATGCATCTCCATGTCACTTATTGATACGAATAAAAAGTGATGTTACTTTTTAAAACAAGTGGTTTCGTAATTATTTTACCTTTTTTCACCTTTGTTTTGCCAGGATGTTGGTTTATGGTTGGAAGAGATAAATTTGGGTAGTTACCGCCAAATTTTCAAAGAAAATGGTGTCAACGGAGAATACTTGGAGGGGATGTCCATGTTCACAACTGAACAGATACTTCGGTTTATAAGACGGTGCCACATGAAATGGGGGGACTTCATCACCCTGTGCAAGGAATTGAGGCGAATTAAAGGTCTCTCTCTTCCCCCCTTTTTGTGCACATCTTTTTGTGTAATCATGAGGGCAAGAAAACTTTGCTTGTGGATTGTTCTATAATGAAGCTGTTATTCTAACATAGAAGAGAAATTTATGGTTGTATGCTACTTTTTATGAATTTTATTGCAAACAGTTCTACATATAAATTTTATTGTAAACAATTCGAGTTACAGAAACAACCTAATGCGAAAATGGGGTAAGACTGTGTACATCTGGCCTTTCTCCATACACTGCTTTAGTGGGAGCTTCGTGCACAATGTTACCCTACATATGTGGAGACTTTCCTTTCAATTTTTGCCTTTCCTTATTTCAGTCTCACTCTTTTGAGATGCAGGGTTTGCCTTATACCATTCAAGGTGTGTTTGTGCCTACCCCAAATCACCAGATTAAGAAATTATTTAGTGTTCTCTCCACGTTTAACATCTGATTCTTTAATTTGCATTATAAAAAGGACTTAAATAATTGGATCAATGTGTCTACTTTCTGTGAATGATTTAATAATTGCCTAAATATATCTTAAGGATGTTTCACTGTTACCTGTCAATGCCAAAAAGCTATTTAACTGCTTTACTTGATATTTGTTATATCACCAAGTTGTACGGACTCGGAAGTGACCTATCTTTTTTGTATTATATTTTTTCCTGTACTGTAATTCAAGTGACTCTTGATACTTATAAAATGGTGTGTTTGGTTTCAAGGAAAGTAGATTCTGGTAAAGATTAAAGACAAATGCCTATGGTTATCTTTGTTGTGCAAGATTGATAACTTACCGTTTGAACCTTCAAATTCTTTGAAGGGTCTTGTTAACAAGTGCCCTTAGGGAACAAGAAAAAGACAAAAAATAGGAAGAACATTGGACACTTTTCACTGATTTCAATGCACTTTTCATCGATTTCAAAACTCTTCTTAACATTTTCATCCATTTAGCCGACCCCATTTGATGGGACTTAAGACTTGGTTTGGTTTGGTTTGGTTTACAAAGCACTTTTCACCCTAATCCTGGTATTAGACAATGCCTTAGCATTTGTCTTCTTTGAAATTTGAATCACAAAAAGTGGACTTCTTAAGGTTGTGGAACTATAAATAGTTTGGACCTACACATTTCATTAATCCCATACTATTAAAATTGACCAATGATGGAGTTAAGAATGGTATGGCATGCATCAGACAGTATTATTACTTGGATAATGCTATATATACTGAATTTCTATACAAAAACTCTATAGAGAATGAGGTTTCTCATTTATATCATTCATTGGATGTTAAAATGTCCATCATCATTATCACATCATTCTGGCTTTAAATTTTGTATGAATATCATTTGCCTTATTACTTTATTAGACTCCTTGATATTTGATTTCATTTGATGTCAATGTTACAGATTCTGCATTGATAATGAATACATACTTTTTTGTATATTCACTATGATGTATATATTTGTTTCAGAATGTTTTTATATTATAGTTAAATTTGCTGAGGTCAAATATTTTTCCAGTGGCTTGCTTGAAAGGGGAGCAAAAAGTCCGCCGGCCTTGGTGGGCTCCGTCTTGCCTATCTGTAGTCTTTGTCAAGGCAGCCAAGCGCAACAGGCACGCACGAGTTGTTTCCTTGAAGCTGGAACCTTGACGAAACTTCCGGTATTATTAATATGTACTTATTTTTAGGTTTCTTTTTTCTTTTTCTAGAGAAAAACAGGAAAAGTAGGAAATAACTCTTTTTTTATCTTAAATTTGGCGAGGTCGTGGTTGTTGGATGGTTCTCTTTTGGAGTAGTTTCTTCCGCTATATATTTGTTTTTGTTGGCTTTATAGTAGTAGCTTCTTCTGTATCAGATATGTGGAAAAGAATGAAACAAGATATGGCAAGAAAATGAGAGTAGTGTTTCAGTTGTGAAGAATCTCACTCCTCTTTAGCATCTGCATTTGTGGTTGGGCTTGTTTGTTTTGTGAATTGGAAGTTCTGTTTGAATCCTTCCGAGTAACGATGCTTTAATCTTTTGGGGCCAACAGATTATCGGTTCCTCGTTTGGTCCATGATGCTACGGAACACATTGGCTACTGCACAAATACATCAAATGGCTGCAAAATTTGGTCATGTTTGGTTTGGATTTCAGAACTTATTTCAAAATTTTTAGTTTTTTTTAAAAAAAAAATTTCTTAAAAAACTAAAAATTAGTTTCATGAAAAAGATTTTTAAAAAATAAATTAAAAGCACTTACTAATCTTTATATTCTTTTATCTTTTTGAAGGGCAAAAATAAGGAAAATTTATCCATAAATCTTATTTTTTGAAAAGTTGAGCCATTTAGTCTTAAAAGTTTTTTTATGCACCATTTAGTCCTTTTTTTGCATCACAACATCATCATCAAAACAACATCAAACATCATCATCAAAACAACATCAAACCTCACAACATCATCAAACAACATCAAACATCATCATCAAAACAACATTAAGATTATTCATTTTTCTTCGTCCAAACATTAACCTAATTTTTTTCCTCTTTTTAAAATTTTTATAAAATAAAAATACGTTTCTTTCCGTGTTAATATTTTCGATCTTCATTAGAAACTCCTCATCTCTCTCCCTCTCTCATCAATCGCATATACTTCACCATTCTTGCAAACAATCAAAATTCACAAACTGTTTCAATTCTCTCTCATCGATCTCTCTGTTCATTTTATCTTCGTTTTCTTCGTATTGGTTTTGCTTTCTAGGGTTTCACACCGATTGGAAATGGACTGGGGAAACATGACCGCAGAAGATCTGATCGAAGCCCTATGCAAAGACGAATCTGTGTTTGATGGAGTTTTGTTTTAGGGCTGGGTGGAGATAGACAAGACTGATCTTGAAGAAGGGAAGGCTTATCCTCCTTACCCGGATGATGATCGAAACATCAATCCTGATGAAGCTTTCTCTTACATTGTAAGGGTTTCCTCAAGATCCTGATGGTGTTGTTGATGATGGCGGAGCCGCCATTGTTGGTGAAGTAATCGAATCGAATCGAATACATTGAAGTAATCGAATCGAAGGTCCGTTTGATCCACACGTCGCAGAGATCGGATCTGTTCCGATTCGGCTTTGTCGACCTCTCATGATCTGTGTTATAAATCTAATGTTTGAAACATTATTGTAATTTTTCACGATTTTTGAAATCTGATGTTTGAAATCTGATTTCAAACATTGTAATTTTTGTTGTATCGCCAGTGGGACTCAAAACCCAGATTCGATGATGTTTTGTTCATGATGTTCTGACGTTGATGTTCATGATGGTAAACATTAGATTATTGAAATCTGATGTTCATGATGGTAAATGAATCTGATGTTTCATTCTACAATTTCAAACATTATTGAAATCTGATGAACATTAGATGTTTGAAATCTAATGTTTGAAACATTAGTGTAATTTTTCACGGTGTTTGAAATCTGATGTTTCAAATCTGATTTCAAACATTGTAATTTTTCACATTATTGTAATTTTTGATGTTTGAAATCTGATGTTTGAAATCTGATTTCAAACATTGTAATTTTTCACATTATTGTAATTTTTGATGTTTGAAATCTTATGTTTAATATCTAATTTTTGATGTTTGAAATCTTATGTTTAATATCTAATTTTTGATGTTTGAAATCTATTTTTTCACGATGTTTGTTTATGATGTTCTGACGTTGATGTTCATGACGATAAACATTAGATTATTGAAATTTGATGTTCATGATGGTAAATGAATCTGATGTTTCATTCTATAATTTCAGTCAATATCATGTTGGGATTTTCCTCATTTACCCTTACTAAAAAGCATAAAACATAGTGTAACACTGGTTATTTTGTCATTAACATTAGCTTGGGACTAATTGGATCATAAGATAAAACATAGGACCAAATGGATCATAAAATAAAGATTTGGGATTTATTAGTGCATCGTCCCAAAAATAATTCTTAAAAATTAAAAAATATTTTTTTATATTTATATTTATCAAATTAGTTTCTATTTTTTCAAAAAAAAAAAAAAAGTCAGAAATTTTTATAAGAGAATGAAACCAAACGCTATTTTTGCTATCACCATAATGAATATTTTAATATTCAAGTGTATATATATTGTTTTTGAGGTTTTGAACGAGAATGGTTGATTACAAAATTCGGAAAATTTACCCAATAATTTCTCAAATTGAACAGACCATAAATTCTTGAAGAACACGTGATTGGATGAGTTGCAGTTGTGACATTGCAACATATTTGCATGCAAAAATTATTCGTTGTCCAACGTACTAATTCTGTAAGGGGTTTGCTTATTATTTATTTGTGTGAATTAAATTAAAAAGAAAAATTAATATCTCCAATACTTGATTATATAAAAAGAAAAATTAAAAGAGTTCAACCTAGGCTGGTCTAATGTCTCCAATACTTGATTATATAAAAAGAAAAATTAAATTTAAATTAATATCCCTATTAAGAGAGAAAGAAAAAAGGAGTTTACGAGCAGAACGTAAAAGAATTTTGTGAAAAATGAAAATGTTAATTCCAGTTCTTCATGATTTCACCGGGTCCTCGATTTAAAGTTTCTGTAGTATTAGAAGTAGATTTAAATTTTTTGTAGAATTAGAAGACTTAATTATTACAACAATTTTACATAATTTTTATTTGGAAAACCAAAAAAGAACAATGTTGTGTATTTAAAAAAAGACTTGACAATATGTCAAAACATTGAAATGTGTTCATAGGATAAATTCTAGATAGAGTGAACACCACACTGAATTTAAATCTATATTATAAATTCAATTTTTGAACACTTTCTAAATATTGAGGACAAACCTTTGCTTGCTGACTGGGTGAGGTTTTTTAGGATATGGATTTGCCATTGAATGGTATTGGCCCATCCAAAACCCCCCAATATACCATCCAATACAAGATTTGTGGCACATACTGTACTCAACCCCACAAAAAACAAACATCTCTCTCACCCGCAAGATCTTTGGGAGCCACGTGGCACAACAACAGCCTCTGTCTCTCTCTCTCTCTCTCCCCAAAGGAAAATCAGGATGGAAATCCAAATCCATAACATGAACCAATCAGATTGTGCTGATGTGTAGATATCCTAATCCATCTCTTCCCATATTCCTGTTTATAACCTCCCTCCTCCCCTCTCAATCAATTACACAAACTTACCTACAACAAACAAGCCCACAGAGAAACATCAGCACCAACAAAGAAGCTCTCACGCAGTCATGGCCACCTCTGCTATCCAACAGTCGGCTTTCGCTGGACAGACTGCCCTGAAGCCCCAGAATGAGCTTGTCAGGAAGATCGGCAGCTTCGGAGGTGGCCGCATCACCATGAGGCGCACTGTGAGAAGTGCTCCCCAAAGCATATGGTAATTTCAAATTTGTGTTTGGATCAATAATTTTTTCTCGCTATACAAGTTTGATCACTGATTTGGGTATTTGTCATTCATTGCATAGTAGCCACAACTTATCACTAACTCAATAGCAATTGATCTAAAAAGTAAATCTAGTATGCCTTTCATTGCATATTAGTTAAAACTAATCAGTAAGTCAATAGCAATTGCTCTAAAGCAAATCTAGTATGTCATTCAATGCATATTAGCTACAATTTATCATTAAGTTGTAGTTGAGTTGGTAAGATTGGGGTAATAACCTCTAGGTCTCTAGTTCAACTCTTGGCGAAGCGAAGGCTCTTGCTCTTGCTTTTTGCCCGATGATGAGGAGTGGTGCATCTCATTACCCCCAGGTTTGGGTATCTAATCTAACTAGGTGGGGATCCTTGGGTATCTAATCTAACTGGAAAGGGGTCGTGTCCTCGGCTATTAAAAAAGGGTACAATTGATCTAAAGTAATGCTCTATGCAAATAGAATTTTTATACAAAATTTACAGACAGAATGACATGACCCTTTAAGCTCGTTTCGTTTCATAACAAAACATGTGATGGCTCATAATTAAAAAAAATGCAATTGTAATATCATTCTGGATGAAATTTCTGTATTTATGTCTGAATACTATTTACCAAAGATCTATACAAATAGTTGGTAAGAATTGTGTTATCTCCATTAGAAAGAAAAGTTATAAATAGCTCAGACTAAACAATGTTAGTTATTGTTTGAGTTCAGAACTTACAAGCATAATTGCTTGCTCTATCCTTGCCTCAATCTGACACTCTGTGGCTTGTAACTACACAGGTATGGGCCAGACCGCCCAAAGTACTTGGGCCCATTCTCCGAGCAAACTCCATCATACTTGACCGGTGAATTCCCCGGTGACTATGGTTGGGACACTGCTGGGCTTTCAGCAGACCCCGAGACCTTTGCCAAGAACCGTGAACTCGAGGTGATCCACTGCCGCTGGGCCATGCTCGGTGCACTGGGCTGTGTCTTCCCCGAAATCCTTTCCAAGAATGGTGTCAAGTTCGGTGAGGCAGTTTGGTTCAAGGCTGGAGCCCAAATTTTCTCCGAAGGCGGCCTTGATTACCTTGGCAATCCAAACCTGATCCATGCCCAGAGCATCCTCGCAATCTGGGCTTGCCAAGTAGTGCTCATGGGCTTCATTGAGGGCTACCGGGTTGGCGGAGGCCCACTTGGCGAAGGACTCGACAAAATCTACCCCGGAGGAGCCTTTGACCCACTTGGACTTGCTGATGATCCAGAAGCATTTGCAGAGTTGAAGGTGAAGGAGATCAAGAATGGACGGCTGGCAATGTTTTCAATGTTTGGATTCTTCGTCCAGGCCATCGTTACTGGAAAGGGCCCAATTGAGAACCTCTTCGACCATCTCGCTGATCCTGTGGCCAACAATGCTTGGGCTTATGCCACTAACTTCGTACCTGGAAAATGAAGTATGAAGATTGAGCTGTAACATTACTTAAAGCTTCTTGGGGTAATTGAATGTGTATTGGGTCCATCCTGATGTAATATTACTTGCAGAAACTGCCTATCTGAGACTTTTATTGCCACTTTTGAGTGTTCAGATCTTATTGTTGCTATAATTTTCAACTTCTCTTCAACATTAAGCTGGCACAGGTATCTGCACAAAATAAACCCAACTTAAACATAGCTTTATGTTCACTTTGGCAGCTAAGAGTGAACAACAAAAGCAAAATTGAACTATGAAAGTGCAGTTCCAAACCCATACAGTGTGATGGATTTCATCAAGTAAACCAATTGCTATTGGCAACTATTTGTTAATATCAAATTTGCAACTTAAAATGCTTGTCCTCATTCCCATAATGAATGCATACATCCATTAGGCCAATTAACTGAACTCTTCTGGCCAATTTGAGTAAACACAGATAGGGGTGGGAGCCACATAAAGTTTTTCATTTGCAAAATAGTGAAGAAATTCTAAAAAAACAAAACTAAGTTCAAATTTAAATTGATGATGTTATTTCTTTTAGTTTCTTTTTTTGTTATTTCAAACTACTCATTTTAAGCTATGAGAGTGATAATAGTTTAGAAAGCGTTTATATACTTGAGGTGGTCATATTTCTTCTAGCACGCCTAAGCGGTTGGTAAGGTTATTACAAACTACTGATGCTTCTAATGGTTAGACATTGCCTTAACAAAAGCTAAAAATTTCCTAGCAATATGCCTAATTATTATGAAAGATGAGTAAACAAAAATCCTAAACTCTACTTGTTTCAAATGAATTCAATTTGTTCAAGCAAAAAAGTAGATTCTATTAACAGTTTTTAACTTCTAGTTTTATAGTGCATTAGTTCATGGTCTTACTTTTCCTAATATTTTTCTTACATAAAATCTATATTATGTGGTAATGAATAAAATATATATCAATATCAATAAAAAATTAATGAAAATTAGTTATTTATTGATCCCACCAAACATAAATTCTCACTCCATCAATAATCACTGGCTGCAATCTCTATAATTTCCAGAGAGCTAATCATACAAAAACCAAGGGAAATACCTTGTAACAGATCCACAAGCCAAAGAAAGCATTGATTCCAGCCAGTTAGCCAGTCAATCACCAATAATCCATGCAAGAACATAAGCCATCCTTGAAATGATGAAAACGGCTATTGTCCCTCACAATTATTTCACGGTCATAGATTTTAGAGAGGAGCTTTGTTACTGAGTGGCAGTCATTACAAACACGAAGGTTCTTCATTATGCGTATGGGACTCCCAGGTTCCACATTAATGAGACCAAAAGAAATAGCCAACCTCTCACTGTGGTTTTCCAATTCGGCTTCTTTATCTTTCTCCCCTTCAACACACAACAAAACTTGGCTCGTGTCAGGAACATGTCCCATCCATTTCAATCTTTCCCTCATCTCACTCATTTTAGAATATATCTTTTCAATCTGGGGATGTGACTTATCGCCCACGACAAACTCATGAAGCAAACCTTTATGTTCTATTGCACTGTATCCTGGATCTTTCTTGAGTCCTTTCTTCTTCATCGTTTCTCTTACCTGTGAAACTTTGTCCCACTGACCAGCCACAGCATACATATTAGACAAAAGAACATAACATCCAATGGCCTCTGGAGCCATCTCAATGACACGTAGAGCTGCATATTCACCGATTTCTATGTTTCTATGGTTCCTAGCACCACTCAATAAACACATCCAAATTACTTCATTTTGTTTCATAGGCATCATTTCTATTACATTCTTTGCCTCTTCAAGATGCCCAGCTCGGCATAGAATGTCAACCAAGCAACCATAGTGTTTGACTGTGGGTTCTATTCCATATTCATTTGTCATCATATCAAAATATCGTTGACCATCATCAACCAATCCTGCATGATTACAAGCATTTAACACTCCAATGAAGGTTATAGCATGAGGTCTAACCCTAGCTCTGCGCATTTCGAGAAATAGTTCCAAAGCATGGCTGGCCATCCCATGAATTCCTAGTCCTACAATTATAGCAGTCCAGTGCCCTAACTTCTTCTTGGGTATTGCTTGAAAAACTGATAAAGCACTCTCAATGCTCCCACACTTTGAATACATCTCTATGAGTGAAGTACCTAGCACACCATCTAATTCAAATCTATTCTGAACCAAGTAAGAATGTAACCATCTTCCTTTACTAAGAAGTGCTAAACCAGAAATTGCAGAAATAGCACTCACTAAGGTAGCATGAGTAAGCACAGGACCGATATTCAACATCATCTGAAACAACTTCAAAGCTTCTGTAAACTGTCCATTCAGTTCATACCCTGCTATCATTGAATTCCATGTAATTACATTTCTGAACTCCATTTGATCAAACAAACGACGGGCTGAATTAAAATCCCCAGATTTCATATACCCATTAATCATGGCATTCCAAGATACCAAATTCCTACTTGGCATTCGATTAAATACCTTTCTTGCTTCATCTACCTTGCCACTTTTCGAGAACCCATCAACCAATACAGTCCACGAAACAGCGTCTCTTTCGGGCATTTCATCGAACAACTCCAATGCAATTTCAATTCCCCCACATCTTGCATACCCATCCATCAAAGAATTCCAAGAAACTAAATCTCTCTCCTCCATTTTATCAAACACCTTCTGAGCCAAATCAATTTCACCACATTTAGAGTACATGCTAACCAAACTACTCTGCACGTACATGTCCAATCCAAACCCAATTTTCAACACCAACCCATGAATCTGTTTCCCTTCCTCAGCGGCACCTAATCGAGCACAACCCTTAATTACACAAGGCAACGTGAAATCATCGGGCATAAACGCCGACCCAGAAAGCAATTCGTTGAAGAGAACAAGTGCTTCGTGTGAACGGTGGTTTTCAACATAGCATTTGATCATGGTGTTCCAAGAAAACAAAGTGGGTTCTTCAATTCGGTCGAAAAGTGATCGGGCGTAGTCGAGGTTGTTGATTTTGGGGTCAGTGTACAACGCCAAGAGTCGAGAAGAAATGTAAGGGTGATGGAAGGCGTTGGTTTTGATGGAGAGAGAGTGGAGTTGGGCGACCTCATGCTGCGTTTTGGAGGTTTGGAGGAGAGAGAAATGGAGATTGTAAGGAAGAAGTTGTTGTGATTCATTGGAATTGAAAGCTGGGAGCTTCAGCATAATTGTCTCCACTACTCTGTAATCTGTACCAAAGGGCCAAATTATGAGAAACTGCATTGCATTGTGTGAGAGATCGCCAATAGTTCATCAGATTTAAATTTGATAAAAAAGTTTATATTTTAAAATAATGCTGGAGATCTTAAAAAAATTTATTAAAACTTTTATTAAATATTTCATGTGAGATCTTTATAAAAAATTTTATTAAATATCTTTTATATGAGTGTGGTACTTTCATCACGTAGGTTCTATACCATGAGACATTTGATAAAAATTTTAATAAATTTTTTGAAATTTTTAGTATTTTTGTTATTTTTTTACTGTTCTAATTGTACATTAAATTCAAGATTTCTTAAATTTTTTTATCAAACGGAGGACAGATGTGTCTTTTATCAAATTATTGTTTATTGTCGTTAGATTTTTATCATCGGATATTCCCTAAATGACCACCTCAAGGCAAAAAATTATGAAAAATTTACACTGGCCGATCTACCAGCCAGACATGCGCCTGGTTGACTGGTGCCTTGATGAAATTCCGTTGAAACACTTGATAATAAAAGAAGCTTTTATTCAAATTTATTGAAAAAAAAAAATGAACCGTTAGAAATGTTCTTATCAGGAAAATTATACAATAACATCGAAGTATCACATGCCATTCTCCCTCATTAATCACCATTCATTATTTTTTAATGTTTTTCAATTACCTAACATAAATAAGTAATATTCTATTTTCTCCATTACTCATATTACTATAGAGTATTATGTGATCGTATTCTCGAATTATCAAATAATTACCCATGTTATCATAAAAAAAGTTAAATTAAAGATTTCTTAAATTTTTTATCAAACGGAGGATAAATGTATCTTTTATCAAATTACTGTTTATTATCGTCAGATTTTCATCATCAGATGTTCCCCGAATGACTACCTCAAGGTAAAAAATTGTGAAAATTTTACACTTACCGATCGACTAGCTAGACATGCGCCTGATTGACCAGTGCCTTGATGAAATTCCGTTGAAACACTTAATATTAAAAGAAGCTTTTATTCAAATTTATTGGAAAAAAATGAACCATTAGAGATATCCTTATCAGGAAAATTATACAATAACGTCGAAATATCACATGTCATTCTTTCTCATTAATCACCATTCATTATTTTTAATATTTTTCAATTATCTAATATAAATAATTAATATTCTATTTTCTCCATTACTTATATTACTATAGAGTATTATGTGATCGTATTCTCGGATTATCAAATAACTACACATGTTATCATAAAAAAAAATTCACAAAAAATAAATAAATAAATGTTATTGATAATAATCTATATTGCCATAAGACTCCTATTTATGAGAAAATAAAATATTAACTTAAGTAGGAAATAACAAATTAGGTTATTCCTTGAAAAACACAAAAAAATAAGAATAAAAATTTTATTAAAAATGACAAATTTAAGTTAAATTCCAATTTAATGATCAGGGGGTGTAAAAAATGTGTCAAAACAAACAACACTTACAAAAATGGTGAACCTAAATAAAGTTATTTTTTAAACAAATAAAATTAGAATTCGAAAGCTCAAACAAGCGATAATTAGGTGCCGTTTGGGAAGACGGTTTGGGGCTAAATTAACCACTACCGTCCAAAAAAGTTCCCTACAAATCAATTTTTACAATTTTTTATTACACATTTTTCAATAAAAAGTCAAAAAGTTAACCCAAACATCTATATTTTCAATCTCAATTTTTTAGTCCAAAAAGACAAAAAGTGTATTTTTTTAGTCTTCCCAAACTTGGCCTAAATGTAACAATTTAGATAGGATTAGTATTTTTTTTTTTTTTTGAACTGGATAGGATTAGTAATTGTTTCATGCAATTCTTAGGTTGTATTTGGTAGAGTTTTGTAAATATAATTTGAGAGTATGAGTTGTATTTTGAGTTTGTGAGTTGTGGAATTATGATTTGAGTGTAGAAAATTTGTTTGGTTATGGTTTTTGAATAGAGTGTTGAATTGAGTTTTGAATTGTATGTGAAATTGAGTTTTGAAAATTTGATCTGATATGTAAAATAAGAAAATTTGTTTGGTGATGAGTTTTCAAAAATTAATTCAATTTATAATTGATAGGGAAAATTGGTCTAAGGTCCCTCCTCTACTTTTGATAAGAGGAGAGATCCAAAATAATATATTTTGAAGGCTAAGGTCCCTCAAGTTTATTTTAGGTTATAAAGTACCTAATTTACCCTCCGTTTATAACATAAATTTGTTTGAATATTATATTGTTGACTTCACAGGGAGATTCTGGAAACTGATTTCGCGGTAGAGATTTCGTCGGAGATTGCAGTGGAGTTGACGAGAAATTTGTTTGAATATTATATTGTTGACTTCACGGTGGAGATTTTGGAAACTGACTTTGGAGTGGAGATTTCATCGGAGATTTCAGTGGAGTTGACGAGAAAGATTGCTACGATCGTGTAGGTGTTACGGTGTGTTGATCGCGTAAGTTTTTCAGTGGAGTTGAATCAGGTATGTTTTCGATAGAGACTCCACTTGGATTTTGAATTTTGTTTTGAATTTTTGTTTAAAGAGAGGCCAGCTTGATAGAGTTGATTTTTATTTTTGGAATTAATTTTTCATTCTCTATTTTTTGATCAATTTCAAAGAGTGTTGACAGTGTAGTTGATTTTGATGTTTAAAGTTTATTTTCCGTGCTCTGTTTTTCATCAACGTGCTGATCAATGATAAGTTTTGTTCTATATTTTTTCAAACTAGAGAAATTTTTTCAAACCAGAGAAATTTCATTTTCTGCACTTTTGTTGGTATAGTCCAGAGAAAATTGTAAGTTCATTATTATAATCCAACAAAAATCACAGAGAAAATTATAAGTTGATATGGACATATTATTAAAAATTTCTAATGCAGATAGAATCTGAGAAAGTGAATGTAAGTTCATATCCTGGATCTTTCTTGAGTCCTTTCTTCTTCATCGTTTCTCTTACCTGTGAAACTTTGTCCCACTGACCAGCCACAGCATACATATTAGACAAAAGAACATAACATCCAATGGCCTCTGGAGCCATCTCAATGACACGTAGGGCTGCATATTCACCGATTTCTATGTTTCTATGGTTCCTAGCACCACTCAATAAACTCATCCAAATTACTTCATTTTGTTTCATAGGCATCATTTCTATTACATTCTTTGCCTCTTCAAGATGCCCAGCTCGGCATAGAATGTCAACCAAGCAACCATAGTGTTTGACTGTGGGTTCTATTCCATATTCATTTGTCATCATATCAAAATATCGTTGACCATCATCAACCAATCCTGCATGATTACAAGCATTTAACACTCCAATGAAGGTTATAGCATGAGGTCTAACCCTAGCTCTGCGCATTTCGAGAAATAGTTCCAAAGCATGGCTGGCCATCCCATGAATTCCTAGTCCTACAATTATAGCAGTCCAGTGCCCTAACTTCTTCTTGGGTATTGCTTGAAAAACTGATAAAGCACTCTCAATGCTCCCACACTTTGAATACATCTCTATGAGTGAAGTACCTAGCACACCATCTAATTCAAATCTATTCTGAACCAAGTAAGAATGTAACCATCTTCCTTTACTAAGAAGTGCTAAACCAGAAATTGCAGAAATAGCACTCACTAAGGTAGCATGAGTAGGCACAGGACCGATATTCAACATCATCTGAAACAACTTCAAAGCTTCTGTAAACTGTCCATTCAGTTCATACCCTGCTATCATTGAATTCCATGTAATTACATTTCTGAACTCCATTTGATCAAACAAACGACGGGCTGAATTAAAATCCCCAGATTTCATATACCCATTAATCATGGCATTCCAAGATACCAAATTCCTACTTGGCATTCGATTAAATACCTTTCTTGCTTCATCTACCTTGCCACTTTTCGAGAACCCATCAACCAATACAGTCCACGAAACAGCGTCTCTTTCGGGCATTTCATCGAACAACTCCAATGCAATTTCAATTCCCCCACATCTTGCATACCCATCCATCAAAGAATTCCAAGAAACTAAATCTCTCTCCTCCATTTTATCAAACACCTTCTGAGCCAAATCAATTTCACCACATTTAGAGTACATGCTAACCAAACTACTCTGCACGTACATGTCCAATCCAAACCCAATTTTCAACACCAACCCATGAATCTGTTTCCCTTCCTCAGCGGCACCTAATCGAGCACAACCCTTAATTACACAAGGCAACGTGAAATCATCGGGCATAAACGCCGACCCAGAAAGCAATTCGTTGAAGAGAACAAGTGCTTCGTGTGAACGGTGGTTTTCAACATAGCATTTGATCATGGTGTTCCAAGAAAACAAAGTGGGTTCTTCAATTCGGTCGAAAAGTGATCGGGCGTAGTCGAGGTTGTTGATTTTGGGGTCAGTGTACAACGCCAAGAGTCGAGAAGAAATGTAAGGGTGATGGAAGGCGTTGGTTTTGATGGAGAGAGAGTGGAGTTGGGCGACCTCATGCTGCGTTTTGGAGGTTTGGAGGAGAGAGAAATGGAGATTGTAAGGAAGAAGTTGTTGTGATTCATTGGAATTGAAAGCTGGGAGCTTCAGCATAATTGTCTCCACTACTCTGTAATCTGTACCAAAGGGCCAAATTATGAGAAACTGCATTGCATTGTGTGAGAGATCGCCAATAGTTCATCAGATTTAAATTTGATAAAAAAGTTTATATTTTAAAATAATGTTAATAATGTTGGAGATCTTAAAAAAAATTATTAAAATTTTTATTAAATATTTCATGTGGGATCTTTATCAAAAATTTTATTAAATATCTTTTATATGAGTGTGGGACTTTCATCACGTAGGTTCTATACCATGAGACATTTGATAAAAATTTTAATAAATTTTTTAGAATGTCTAGTATTTTTGTTATTTTTTTACTGTTCTAATTGTACATTAAATTCAAGATTACTTAAATTTTTTATCAAACAGAGGACAGATGTGTCTTTTATCAAATTATTGTTTATTGTCGTTAGATTTTCATCATCGGATGTTCCCCGAATGACCATCTCGAGGCAAAAAATTATGAAAAATTTACACTAGCCGATCTACCAGCCAGACATGCGCCTGGTTGACTGGTGCCTTGATGAAATTCCGTTGAAACACTTAATATTAAAAGAAGCTTTTATTCAAATTTATTGGAAAAAAATGAACCGTTAGAGATGTCCTCATCAGGAAAATTATACAATAACGTCGAAATATCACATGTCATTCTTCCTCATTAATCACCATTCATTATTTTTTAATATTTTTCAATTATCTAATATAAATAATTAATATTCTATCTTCTCCATTACTCATATTACTATAGAGTATCATGTGATCGTATTCTCGAATTATCAAATAATTACCCATGATATCATAAAAAAAAATTAAATTCAAGATTTCTTAAATTTTTTATCAAACGGAGGATAAATGTATCTTTTATCAAATTACTGTTTATTATCGTTAGATTTTCATCATCAGATGTTCCCCGAATGACTACCTCAAGGTAAAAAAATTGTGAAAATTTTACACTTACCGATCGACCAGCCTGACATGCGCCTGATTGACCGGTGCCTTGATGAAATTCCGTTGAAACACTTAATATTAAAAGAAGCTTTTATTCAAATTTATTGGAAAAAAATGAACCGTTAGAGATGTCCTCATCAGGAAAATTATACAATAACGTCGAAATATCACATGTCATTCTTTCTCATTAATCACCATTCATTATTTTTTAATATTTTTCAATTATCTAATATAAATAATTAATATTCTATTTTCTCCATTACTTATATTACTATAGAGTATTATGTGATCGTATTCTCGGATTATCAAATAACTACACATGTTATCATAAAAAAAAATTCACAAAAAATAAATAAATAAATGTTATTGATAATAATCTATATTGCCATAAGACTCCTATTTATGAGAAAATAAAATATTAACTTAAGTAGGGAATAACAAATTAGGTTATTCCTTGAAAAACACAAAAAAATAAGAATAAAAATTTTATTAAAAATGACAAATTTAAGTTAAATTCCAATTTAATGATTAGGGGGTGTAAAAAATGTGTCAAAACAAACAACACTTACAAAAATGGTGAACCTAAATAAAGTTATTTTTTAAACAAATAAAATTAGAATTCGAAAGCTCAAACAAGCGATAATTAGGTGCCGTTTGGGAAGACGGTTTGGGGCTAAATTAACCACTACCGTCCAAAAAAGGCTAATTTAGCCACTACCGTCCAAATGAGCTTCACTTGGAAATGTTGAACCCATGGCAGGTTGAAATTACCAAACTACCCCCTCCCACTCTGATACACGTCTCACCGCCTCACCACACATACAAACAAGGAAAAGCGTTTTTGCAACAAAAAAAAAGAAGAAGTAAATTAAAAAGAAATGAAAAAGAGGACAATATGTAAGCAAAATTTAGGTTGTATTTGGTAGAGTTTTGTAAATATAATTTGAGAGTATGAGTTGTATTTTGAGTTTGTGAGTTGTGGAATTATGATTTGAGTATAGAAAATTTGTTTGGTTATGGTTTTTTAATAGAGTGTTGAATTGAGTTTTTAATTGTATGTGGAATTAAGTTTTGAAAATTTGATCTGATATGTAAAATAAGAAAATTTGTTTGGTGATGAGTTTTCAAAAATTAATTCAATCTATAATTGATGGGGAAAATTGGTCTAAGGTCCCTCCTCTACTTTTGATAAGAGGAGAGGTCCAAAATAATATGTTTTGATGGCTAAGGTCCCTCAAGTTTATTTTAGGTTATAAAGTACCTAATTTACCCTCCTTTTATAACATAAATTTGTTTGAATATTATATTGTTGACTTCACGGGGAGATTCTGGAAACTGATTTCGCGGTGGAGATTTCGTCGGAGATTGCAGTGGAGTTGACGAGAAATTTGTTTGAATATTATATTGTTGACTTCACAGTGGAGATTTTGGAAACTGACTTTGGAGTGGAGATTTCGTCGGAGATTTCAGTGGAGTTGACGAGAAAGATTGCTACGATCGTGTAGGTGTTACGGTGTGTTGATCGCGTAAGTTTTTCAGTGGAGTTGAATCAGGTATGTTTTCGATGGAGATTCCACATGGATTTTGAATTTTGTTTTGAATTTTTGTTTAGAGAGAGGCCAGCTTGATAGAGTTGATTTTTATTTTTGGAATTAATTTTTCATTCTCTGTTTTTTGATCAATTTCAAAGAGTGTTGACAGTGTAGTTGATTTTGATGTTTAAAGTTCATTTTTCGTGCTCTGTTTTTCATCAACATGCTGATCAATGATAAGTTTTGTTCTATATTTTTTCAAACCAGAGAAATTCTTTTAAACCAGAGAAATTTCATTCTCTGCACTTTTGTTGGTATAGTCCAGAGAAAATTGTAAGTTCATTATTATAATCCAACGAAAATCACAGAGAAAATTATAAGTTGATATGGACATATTATTAAAAATTTCTAATGCAGATAGAATCTGAGAAAGTGAATGTAAGTTCATAAATTTCTCTGGACTTTTATTTGTAGTTCAGAGAAAATTATAAGTTTGTTACTCACTTTCAGTTTGTAGTTCAGAGAAAATTATATGTTTGTAGAAAGTGAATATAAGTTTTTGTTTCTCTGAGCAAAAGTTATTTTTTGTATTTTTTTCTTTCAGTTTAGATGGACAATGCAGTGTTTTTTGTTATCTTGAAAGTGTATATAAGTTTGTAAATTTCTTTGAATTTTTCTACGAGTGCAATATTGCAGAATGACGCATAGAAAATTGTTAGCTTGTAGTTTAGTGAAAATCACAGAGAAACCTATAATTTCATAACAAATATTCTGTGTGATTTTTTTCTATGATTGTGTTTAATAGTTAACAGTAAATTTCTCTGTGATTCTTTCTGGATTCATTAAGTTTCTGTGATTTTATTTTTGTTATCTTGAAGGTGAATATAAGTTTGTAAATGTCTCTGGACTTTTATTTGAGTCCAGAGAAAATTATAAGCTTGTTATTATAATCCAGAGAAAATTATAATTTTAGAAATTTCTCTGGACTTTTATGTTGTTCTTGTGAAGTGTTTTTATGCTGAACAAATTATTTTTCTTGTTTTTTCTTTCAATTTCAATGGACAGTGCAGTGTTGTTGCTGTACAAATATAGGAATGATACTATTGTCATTAATGTTTCATGCAAATTGAATTTTGAGGAATTGGTTGGCATTTTGTGTAAAACATGGGAGAATTTAAAACCTAAGTGTATTTCATATTCTATTGTGGGCCATCCGAATTGTATGGTTCGAAATAATATTGATTTTCTGAATATGTTGAGGGTTGTTTATGCACGTGGTGTTGATATAGTTGATGTTGCAGTTACTAGGTGTAGTACTTCTGATGAAGAGGATGAAGTGGGGTCTAATTGGGTAGATGTTGTGGATGGTGAATGTGATAGGCTGGTGGATATTGAAAGGAATTCACTCTCTAAGTTTTGTTCTCACCAAGAAAATGTGTTATTGTCAGCTGGTTGGCGAAATAATATTACGAGTGTTGGACAAAAGTTTGAGGGTGGTGTGGTTGAGTTCTGTACTTTTTTATGCAAGTATGCTATTGAGGTTGATTTTCAGTTTGCGTATGTTAAAAATAACAAGCTGAGGGTTACGGCAGAATGTGCATATAAGGAATCAAGGGGATGTATGTGGCATGTACACGCTTCAGTTGAAAAACAAATGGGTTCTTTTACATAAGAACTTTGAACAATGAACATACGTGTGGTGTGGCGGTTCGTACTAGTACACATGCTAAGATGACTTCCAGCTTAGTTTCTGGGCTGATACTTGAAGAGGTAAGTGCAAAACCTTTAACTCGTCCAGTGGATGTTGTCAAAGAAATGAAAGACAAGAATGGGGTCTCAATCAGTTATAACTGTGATTGGTTGGGGGTTGAAAAAGAAAAATGTAGTACATATGGGGATTCTTGTTTGTCATTTGATTAATTATGGTGGTATTTTAATGAGGCATTGAAGAGCAATCCATGTAGTCGTTTTGAGTTAGATTTTGAAGATAACAAACGTTTCAAAAGAGTGTTTGTGGCTTTTCATGCATGCATTGCTGGTTTCAAATATTGTCGGTCATTGTTTTTTCTTGATGGAACATTTTTTAAAGGACGATACAAATGAGTTATGCTTGCTGCAACGGGGAAAGATGGGAATGAAGGTAATTGTAAATATATCTAATTTTATCTAAGTATGTGAATTTTCTATACATGTAGGAATTGAGTGAATGTGAATTTTCTCTGGTTTTGGCCACTGTGAGAATTTTCACTGGATTTTGGTCAGTGTATGAATTTTCTCTGGATGTTGTCATTGTGTGAATTGTATCTGTAGGTGGTCAATAAGTGAATTTTCTCTGGATATTATGATTGTGTGAATTTTCTCTGTAGCTGGTCACTTATTCAATTTTCTCTGGATGTTGCAAATGTGTGAATTTTCTCTGGATGTTGGCAGTGTCAAACTTCTCTGGTTGTTTATTGTTCTATTTTTCTCTGCATGTGTTAGAATATGAGAAAGTGAATGTAAGTTCATAAATTTCTCTATACTTGTATTTGTAGTTCAGAGAAAATTGTAAGTTTGTTACTCACTTTCAGTTTGTAGTTCAGAGAAAAGTATTTC